TAGTAGGAGACCCCAACACTCCACTCTCAGCAATAGACAGATCATCTAAGCAGATCAACAAAAAAACAAGAGCTTTGAATGACACACTGGACCAGATGGACTTCGTAGATATAGAGAGTACATTCCACCCTAAAACAACAGAATACCCATTCTTCTTGAGCGCACATGGAACTTTCTCCAGAATAGACCACCTACTGGGTCACAAATCAGGTCTCAACTGATACCAAAAGATTGAGATTATTCCCTGCATATTTTCAGACCATAATGCTTTGAAACTGGAACTCAATCACAAGAAAAATATTTGGAAGGAATAAAAACACTTGGAAGTTAAAGAGCATACTGCTAAAGAATGATTGGGTCAACCAGGAAATTAAAGAAGAACTTAAACAATTCATGGAAATTAATGAGAATGAAAACACATCTGTCCAAAACCTATGGGATACTGCAAAGTGGTCCTAAGGGGCAATTACATAGCCATCCAAGCCTTACTCAAAAAAATAGAAAAATCCTGAATGCACAATCTAACCTTACACCTAAAGGAGCTGGAGAAAGAACAGCAAATAAAACCTAAGCCAAGCAGGAGAAGAGAAATAATAAAGGTCATAGCAGAGATTAATGAAATAGAAACCAGAAAAACAGTAGGACAGATCAATGAAACTAAAAGCTGATTCTTTGAAAGAATTAATAAGATCAATAAACCTCTGGCCAGACTTATCCAAAAGAAAAGAGAAAGGACGCAAATCAATAAAATCATGAGTGAAATGGGAGAGATCATGACTAACACCAAGGAAATAGAAACAATTATTAGAAATTATTACCAGGAACTATATGCCAACGAATTAAGCAACCTGGAAGAAATGTATGCCTTCTTGGAAACTTATAAACTACCAAGACTGAATCAGGAAGAAATAGACAAGCTTAATAGATGAATAACCAGTAATGAAATTGAAGCAGTGATAAAAAATCTCCCAATAAACAAGAGTCCAGGGCCAGATGGCTTCCCAGGGGAATTCTACCAAACGCTTAAAAAAGAAATAATACCTATTCTACTGAAGCTGTTTCAAAAATTAGAAACAGAAGGAAAACTTCCAAATTCGTTCTGAGTCCAGCATTACCCTGATCCCAAAACCAGGCAAAGACCTGTTCATCAAAAAGGAGAATTTCAGACCAATATCCCTGATGAACGTGGATGCCAAAATACTCACCAAGATCCTAGCCAGTTGGATCCAACAGTACATTAAAAGAATAATTCACCACGACAAGGTGGGATTTGTTCCTGGGATGCAAGGGTGGTTCAACATTTGCAAATAAATCAGCATGATAGAGAACATTAATAAAAGAAAAGACAAGAACCACATGCTCCTCTCAATTGATGCAGAGAAAGCATTCAACAAAATACAGCATTCTTTCCTGATTAAAACTCTTCAGAGTATAGGGATAGAGAGACCATTCCTCAATATCATAAAAGCCATCTATGAAAAGCCCACAGCAAATATCATTCTCAATGGGGAATGAATAACAGAGTTTTTCCTTTAAGGTCAGGAAGATGATAGGGATGCCCACTATCACCACTATTGTTCAACATAGTACTAGAAGTCTTAGCCTCAGTAATCAGACAACAAAAAGAAGTGAAAGGCATTCAAATTGGCAAAGAAGAAGTCAAACTCTTTCTCTTTGCAGATGACATGATTTTTGTGGAAAACCCAAAAGATTTCACCCCCAAATTACTAGAACTCATATAGCAATTCAGCAACGTGGCAGGATACAAAATTAATGCACAGAAATCAGTTGCTTTTCTATACATGAACAATGTGACTGAAGAAAGAGAAATTAAGGAATCGATTCCATTTATAATACCACCAAAAACCATAGGATACCTAGGAATAAAGCTAACCAAAGAGGTAAAGGATCTATACTCTAGAAACTACAGAACACTTATGAAATAATTGAGGAAGACACAAAAAGATGGAAACACATTCCATGCTCATGGATTGGAATAATAAACATTGTTAAAATGTCTATGCTACCCAGAGCAATCTACACTTTCAAAGCAATCCCTATCAAAGTACCATCAACATTTTTCACAGAGCTGGAACAAACAATCCTAAAATTTGTATGGAACCAGAAAAGACCCTGAATTGCCAAGGGATTGTTGAAAAAGAAAACCAAACCTGCGGGCATCACAATGCCTGATGTCAAGCTATATTACAAAGCTGTGATCATCAAGACAGAATGGTATTGGCACAAAAACAGACACACTGATCAGTGGAGCAGAATAGAGACCCAGAAATGGACCCTCAACTCTATGGTCAACTAATCTTTAACAAATAAGGAAAGAATATCCAATGGAAAAAAGACAGTCTCTTCAACAAATGGTGCTGGGAAAATTGGACAGCCACATGCAGAAGAATGAAACCGGACCATTCTCTTATATCATACACAAAGATAAACTCTAAAAGGATGAAAGACCTCAATGTGAGAGAGGAATCCATCAAAATCCTAGAGGAGAACATAGGCAGTAACCTTTTCAATATCGACCACAGCAAATTCTTACAGGACACATCTCCAAAGGCAAGGGAAACCAAAGCAAAAATGAACTTCTGGGACTTCATCAAGATAAAAAGCAAAGGAAACAGTCAACAAAACAAAGAGGCAACCCACAGAATGGCAGAAGATATTTGCAAATGATATTACAGATAAAGGGCTGATATCCAAGGTCTATAAAGAACTTCTCGAACTCAACACCCAAAAACCAAATAATCCAGTCTAAATATGGGCAGAAGACATGAACAGACACTTCTCCAAAGAAGACATATAAATGGCTAACAGACACATGAAAAAATGTTCAACATCACTAGCCATCAGGGAAATTCAAGTCAAAACCACAATGAGATACCACCTTACACCAGTTAGAATGACAAAAATTAACAAGACAGGAGACAAAAATGTTGGTGGGGATGTGGAAAAGGGGAACCCTCTTACACTGTTGGTGGGAATGCAAGCAGGTACAGCCACTCTGGAAAACAGTTTGGAGTTTCCTCAAGATGTTAAAAATAGAGCTACCCTACGACCCAGCAATTGCACTACTGGGTATTTACCCCAGAGATACAGATGTAGTGAAAAGAAAGAGCACATGTACCCCAATGTTCAGAGCAGCAATGTCCACAATAGCCAAACTGTGGAAGGAGCTGAGATGCCCTTCAACAGATGAATGGATAAGGAAGACATGGTACATATATACAAGGGACTATTACTCAGCCATCAGAAAGGATGAATACCCACCATTTGCTTCGACATGGATGGAACTGGAGGGGATTATGCTAAGTGAAATAAGTCAAGCAGAGAAAGGCAATTATCATATAGTTTCACTCACATGTGCAACATAAGGAATAGCACTTTGGACATTAGGGGAAGGGAGGGAAAACTGAATGGGAAGAAATCAGAGAGGGAGACAAACCATGAGAGACTCTGGACTCTGGGACACAAACTGAGATTTACAGAGCAGAGGGGGCTGGGGGGCTGGGGTAACTGGGTGATGGGTATTAAGGAGGCCACGTGTTCTGATGAGCACTGTGTGTTAGACACAACCATTGAACACTACATCAAAAACTAATGTACTATATGCTGCTAATTGAACATAATAATAATAATAAATAAAAGGATGTTGGGTGGGTAGGCTTAAATGACAAATCTCCTCCTAATGCTTTCTTAATCAGTGTGTCCATGTTAACCATAGATACCCTAAGGAAGCAAGGCTGGGAGTTCAACTTGTGTTGTAGCTAATCAAAGGACAAGGTTCTGTCTTTGATTTTCAGCAATTCCAGCTCAACTGCTACATGAAATAAGGCTTTCCTTCAGGGCACACTTAGAAGAACTTAGCTCAGTTACGAGGTCCTTGAGCTGGGAATTCAAATCCCTTAGCTTATCTTTTTTTCCTGTTTTAGCCAGTAACATAAGAGCAGGCAACCAATGTCATTATAGTCCTTAGTTTTCCAAAAATGTTCAAAAGTAACATTAACAGAAACACTTAGTTTCTTGCTTCTTATAAATGGTTGACTAGAAGTATCCAATGTACATATCTCGTTTATCTCCATAAACAGTTTGTGACATGCACTATCAGTGCTCTCATTTGTAATGGAAATAGAGTCATGAGTAGAATTGTTAAATCTAATCAGATTAGACAGAGAATTTCAGAAACCTCAGAATCAATTCAGGAAATTCATCATCATTAAAATTCTTTTCCTTTGACCCACTCTGGGTACCAAAATATCTGTGTTAGTTTGCTCCAGAGAAATAGAAATATATATTTGTTTATTATGAGATTAATATATTATTAATCACATATACATGAGATTAATATACTAAATCATATATATGATGTATATATCTCATGTATTTATAATCTCATGTATATATAATTTATTATAAGAATTAGTTTATATAATTATGGAGGCTGAGAAGTCTCACAATCACAATTGACTATCTGTAAGCTGGAGAACCAGGAAAGTCAGGGACATAATTCAATTTCAGTCCAAAGGTCTGAGAATTGGGAGTTCATGGTCAAAATCCTGGTCTGAGTTCTGAAGTGGAAGACCCAGCAGTGCCAGTGTCCAAGCAGAGAGAACAAATTCCCTATTCTCCACCTTTTTGTCCCAGTCAGGCCCTCCACCGCTAGATATGCCCTCTAACATAGGCAAAGATGATCTTCCTTACACAATCTGCAGATTCACATCTTAATCTTTTCCAGAGATATCCACATAGACACATTCAGAAGTAATGCTGAACCAACTATCTGAGCATTCCTTATCCCACTCCAGCTGACACATAAAATTAACCATCACATGGCTGTGGGAAAACTAGAAAAAGTGTCACATGTGGGAACCATAGGACACAGGCAAAGAGGAAGCTCTCACTATCTTAAGACAACTAACCAAACAGTATATTGCCTATTGAACATCGCTAGTGGGGGAGGGAGACATCATTAAGAAAGAACTGAATTTTCAAGGCCTTGCCACTGAAAGCCCCCTCTGCACAGAGTAGGGAAGCATCTTCAGAGCAAGAAGGGAGTCTGTGATTACAGGACAAGTTTTGGTCTCAGTTCCCCATGAACATGGACCACTGTGGAAAGTGCTACTGGTTGTATATGAGCAACAGTAGTACTCAGCCTCATCCTCAGCCAGAAGCCCAGATATGGTCAGGGAGGCCATGTTTCCAGACTTGGAGCCAGAGAAATGATCAGGGACGGCCTGTATTTAAATTATGAATCAGGACGTTGGGGGACATGCCTGGGAGCAGTTGATACCAGGAAACAAAATTATAATTCCCAATGTCATTGCTGGTTCCAGTACAAGAGATGGTGATGGTACTTCCCAGAGTCCCTGACACTGAGGGAGGCTGAGTCAGGGCAGATTGGGCCCAAGAACCTGAAAAAAGAAAGAACACCCTCTGCTGAGTTCAGAGCTGGTGCCCTAGGTAAGTCTGAGAAGGAGACAAACATTCAGCCAGATGTCCCTGTGCTCCCTTCAATGAAGGCCTCACCTGTGACCCGAGTGAGGAGGGTGAGGAGAATAAGAGCCCAGGCCGTGGTGGAGATGCCCCAAGAACACTGCTTTCTGAGATGCCGCAAGGCCCAGCAGCCCTGGGCCTGGCTCCCGCATAACGCTCTTATCCACTCCCCCTGCCTCAGAAGAGGGAGGGGCCTCCATGCAAATGTGCTTCCTGACCTGCCTCCCCTCAACCACTCTGACCTGTCCCTCTATTCTAGACACTTCTGCAACCCTGGGGGGCAGAGCCTAGCTGTCCAGATGTTAAAATGCTTTGACACGGATTTTCTGAATCATGACAGACTGAGCCTCACAATTCAAACCAGGCTTTGAATATCCTTACCTGCCACTGGGGAAGTCTTGGTGTGGATGTCAGAGGAATCCCAGGACCACACTGCTATGTGGGAGGAGGGTAGGGAGAGCTCTCCAGGTTGGCTAGGATTAGGGGCGATTCAATTACTCCTGTTCCCAGGAACGCAGGTAGAGCTGGGCACCTCATTGTCCCTCAACTCCATCTTGGTGCCCCTCAGTTACCTGGTCCTCAAGCATTACTATGTGCCCTGCTCTGCAGTGGTTTGCGGTTAGGAGATGTTTACTGGCACATTGAGAAATGAATTATTGGAACACAACAGGTATCAGGTCCCCCTTCCCTTGTGTCCCACTTAGAGTGGCTCCAGAAGGAGGTATTGGAAAAGTTTCAAGGACAGGAGAACAACAAAAACTGCTTTCCCCAAATTCAAGCCTTCGCTGCCCCCTAGTGGACTCAGAGCATAAATGCCAAGCACCCAGGAAGGCCGCTGAGAGAGAGCTGGAAACCCATGCTCTGCTCCTCCTCCTGCCCTCCTTCCAAACCCTGCCCGCTCAGTCTCAAGCCCCCAGATTCCTTCTGATGCAATTCAAGATCCTTTCTACTTGTTCTTTACTTCCTGCAAAACGAATTATGGCACCTGCAAAATTGAGTGGCCCAGATGCTCCCTCCCACAGTCCCCTTGCTCATACCAGGAAGGCCATGTCACAGGGATAGAGTATGTGCGGTGGGTATGGCTCAGGGTGAGGAAACATCACACATTAAATTAATACAACCCCAGTCAGTACAAGGATGAGAAAAGAGGGACCATGAGAAAGCGACTGAATTCTCAAAATGATTAGAAAACCAGATTAATGCAAGAAAGAGAGCTGGGGCAGGATGGAGAAATACCTCATTGAAATCAAGAGAAAGGGTTCCAGGGTCTGAGGCTCTGGGAGAAGGGGAGAGGAGATAAGATTGGCCTCAGGGGCCCAGCTCCAGGGACTTCTCACAGGGCAAGTCTGTGTGCCACAGGTGACACAGGATGCTTTCTGTCTGTCTCTGGAGCACACTTTGTTTTTTTGTTTTTGTTTTTGTTTTTTTTATGTCCAGTTATCCAGCATGTAGTACTTCATTAGTTTATGATGTAGTGTTCAATGATTCATTAGTTGAGTGTAACACTCAGTGCTCATTGCAACATGTGCCCTCCTTAATACTCATCACCCGGTTACCCCTTCCCCCACCCTCTTCCCCTCTGTAACCCTCAGTTTGTTTCCTGGAGTCCAGAATCTCTCATGGTTTGTCTCCCTCTCTGATTTCTTCCATTCAGGTTTCCCTCCCTTCCCCTATGGTCCTCCGCACTATTCCTTATGTTCCACATATGAGTGAAACCATATGATAATTGTCTTTCTCTGCTTGACTTATTTCACTTAGTATAATACCCTCCAGTTCCATCCATGTCGATGCAAATGGTGGGTATTCATCCTTTCTGATGGCTGAGTAATATTCCATTGTATATATGGACCACATCTTCTTTATCCATTCACCTGTTGAAGAGCATCTTGGCTCCTTCCACAGTTTGGCTATTGTGGACATTGCTGCTATAAGCATTCGGGTGCAGGTGATCCTTTGGGTCAGTATGTTTATATCCTTTGGGTAAATACCTAGTAGTGCAACTGCAGGGCCATAGGGTAGCTCTATTCTTAACATCTTGAGGAACCTCCATACTGTTTTCCAGAGTGGTTGTACCAGTTTGCATTCCCACTAATAGTGTAAGTGGGTTCCCCTTTCTCCACATCCTAATCAACATTTTTTGTTTCCTGTCTCGTTAATTTCTGCCATTCTAACTGGTGTAGGGTGGTATCTCACTGTGGTTTTGATTTGAATTTCCCTGATGAACATTTTTTCATGTGTCTGTTAGCCATTTATATGTCCTCTTTGGAGAAGTGTCTGTTCATGTCTTCTGCCCATTTATTGACTGGATTATTTGTTTTTTGGGCATTGATTTTGATACATTCTTTGTAGATATTGGATACCAGCCCTTTATGTTGTGCATACTTTGTGACCTGACCTCACAGCTGTGTGCTTCCTGGGGCAAACTCTCTTCATCCACAGAGATGTTTGACCTAGTGTGTTTTTCTAGAAGGAGGTGGGTTTGGGGAAAAACTGATCAGGACTGACAGATCCTTTCCAGGAGTTCAATGGCCTAGAGATGCTCTGATGACATTCTTTTCATGTCACTGTTCATACCACATGACAGGTGATTCCAAGAGGTTCTGAACAATGTGTTCTTGGGCCAGATCATGGGATGAACAGTTGGTGGCCACTGAGTTGGGGGAAAGGAAAAGTGTTTTTGGGAAGAAGAATATTTTGGGACTTGAGTTTATTGCTTGTGTGTTTTAAACATTCAACTACTGAAATATTTAGATATTTGTTTTGGTAAAGATACCTATTTTTTGGATAATAATAACACGGTGACTACATGATGATCCTGTCTTAAATCAGTCAGTGAAGCATCTGAAACTAGATTTGTAGCCCATTAATTTGGATCCCTTTCTCTTGGTATCACTGTGGAGAGATCTCCTGTGAACATTCTGGTATCCAGATGCTTCCTGCAAGAAATCAACCACTGATCTTCATGAAAACTGCCTTGCATTTGCTCCATCTTCTGTGAGTACTAGGAACACCCTCATGGCCCCCCATAATAGAGGAGTTAGTGTTTCACGTAAAAATCTGCTGGAATATTGTGCTCACACAATTACACAAGACATAGAAATAATAAGCTTGACTGCCACAAAAGGAAGTGAAATTAACACTTGCTCATAATATGATGAACGAACAATAAAGCTAAAGCATGTAAAAAATTTTAAAATCATAAAAATCAATCCCTGGTTTCTTTTATTTTAGGATATAAGAAATACAAAGATTCCTTAAAGAATCACAAGTTACAAGACACAGAGACAGAGAGAAATATCGAGAAAACATGTATGGCACCTGACTCAGTAAATCAATGGGCATATGAATGGTTACTCACTTACATGTGCAATCTCTCACCATGTAGAATAATAAAAGCTCAGATGGATATATTGACCTTAGGGACTTCTAACATTTCAAATTATTTCCATCAAAAGTGTCTATTTTCTCATCTTTAAAAATTGTTATAAAATATATACAGCTTAACTATTTGAGAAGACACAAGAGACTGTTCCTGCAATTTCAGACACACAATACAGGACAGAAGGCCTATGGCAGCTCCACAAATCTCATATGGACTGATCCTGTTCACTCAACATGTAGTTTGTGATTTTCCGGGTAATTCTCCCTATTATAAAAATAGGAACTAATTTCTCGGAAGGAAATTGTGGTCCTGTCTAAAAGGAGACACAGTCGAAGTGGCAGTGGGGGCTCCCTGCCCTGCTATGCACATGTGGATACTTTGTAGAGATCTCACTGATGCCATGACAGTCAGGGAGCACATCTTACACCAGAGGCCCTAGAGCCCAGCCAGACTGTGGCCCCTCTGCCAACTTGTTTGTCTCCATGAAGACACACACCCTACAGCAGGTGCAGCCTCTGACCAGCCTTACATAGACAGGGGGCCATGACTCGGGACACTATTCTCTTTAGTAGCACAGAGCCCCTTCCCACTGTGCTGGGACCCAGCTCCTGAGGGGTTCTATGTATGACACTCTTCTTGCTTCAATGATTCAAACAGAAAGGTGCTGATGTTTATGAGGGAAAGATAGAGGTAGGTGGTGAAAAGATTTTTGAAAATAATTGATGGCGAGAACATTATGGAAAGATTGAGCTCTCAAGTGGGTGACTATATTAGCAGGGTTCTCCAGAGAAACAGAACTAATAGGAATTTTATGTTTGCATGTGTGTATGTGTGTATCTATATGTGTGTGTGTTTTATATTTTTAAATATATTGTATAATTATGTGCATTTATATATAATATATATCTTATACATAAATATATAATGTTTTCTACATGATTATAACATATAAATTATATGACATCTCGATTATATATAAATATTCAAAAATGGTACATACAAATTTAAAAATGTATTTTTATACATGTGCAATTATACCTAATTATGAGGATTTGCTCACATGATTATTTATTTATTTATTTATTTGAGAGAGAGAGAAAGAGAGAGTGAGAGAGCACAAGCAGGGGGAGCAGCAGAGGGAGGGGGAAAAGCAGACTCCCCACTGAGCAGGGAGCCCAATGCAGGGCTTAATCCCACATCCCTGGGATCATGACCTGAGCCAAAGGCAGATGCTTAAACAAGTGAGCCACCCAGGTGCCCCGGCTCACATGATTATTGAGGCAGGAATGTTTGTGAGCTGCCATCTGCAACCTATAGACCCAGAAAAGCCAGCAACGTAATTCATGGAAGGTCCAAAGGCCTGAGAACCAGGAAAGCCAGTGATATGAATTCTAGTCAATGGGCAAGAGATGATGAGAGAAGATTCCCAGCTAAACCAGAGACGAGAAAAGAATAGTGAATTCCTCCATCCTTTGGCTTTTGTTCTACTTAGGCTCTCATGCAGTGGGTCAGGCACACACACCTTAGGGAGAGCAATCTACTGTTTTGAACCAGCCAATTCAAATTCTAATCTCAGCCAGGAACATACTCACAGGCACACCCAGAAATAATGTTTCATCTGTGCACCCCGTGACCCACTCAGGTTGACACAAAAAATTATCCATCTCAGTGACCATCTTTCCTGATTCCCCAACTGGAATGCGGTTTTTTTGGAGGACACGGCACTTCCACTGCTAAAACAGGGAAACTTCTGGCAACATGACTAGAGTTGTTCAGCCCCCAGGTCTTCTGATGCCGAAGCCTAGCTTCATTCAGTTGTTCAAACAATTCATAGATATATTTATTATCAAATTTATTTATTTGCATTTATGTAATTAAAGATCCGTTGTAACTGGAATTCCAGCTAGACGTTGTGTTGCTCATCAGAGAAAACAGATGTTTGACTTTCCTAAGGAAAAGGGGACACATCCATAACCTTTCTTTTTCTTTCCAGAAGAAAAGGAGCCTCTTTAAAAAGAGCTCATACTAATGGGGACAAAGTCTCCTCATTTCTTTGTTGCTGAGTTAAATGTTGGGAAGAGTCCCAGTATGGGACCAGAGCACAAAGGCAAAGAGGAAGCCATCATTGTAGCAAAGGAAAACACCAGATACAGTGTTGCCTTTGGATGTTATGGTGATCAAGGAGAGGACATGAGTGAGAACTGA